TTTGCTTAAGCTTTCAACATTAGCAAGTGTCAGAACCGGAACTTGAAACCACATCATCAGTATCAAATTCTGAAGTTTTGGGTTTGTGATTTTTCATGGCACTATAGTCTATCCAGTGAGAATTGGAGCTGTACAAAAAAAGTCTCCAAGTGGAAAAAAACGTGATGGCCATAGCCCAGGACACACATGTGTTTGAGGCTAACGAGGGTCCAATAAAGGAAAGGGGGAACGAGTGGTTACGGAGTGAGAAGAAGCCAGAGAGCATTTGGCTCTAGAAACCAAGGGATAAACAGAGACAGGGAGCTTCTGGGACAAGGAGGTTAAGTTCTCAGGTATGACCTTGACCTTCCTTTTAGAAATACTTATATATAACTTTAAAAAAAATAAAGAGGGCAGGTGGCCTGCAGACTGTGGAGTGAACACGCTTGACCTGGAGGATCAGTAGGATCTGTGCTGAGATCACATTCCTGAACATTGTGCTTCTTTCCCTTTTCGTGTTCACTCTCATTTCACACATTTTGGCTCTAGGTCCTGACTAGATTACAGTCTCCTTGAGGGTGAGGTCCGCCTCTCATTTCCCTTCTTGTCTCCACACTGCCTAACACCGCTCGTTCCCCACAGCATTCGGCAGTGTGAAAGCTGTCTGCGTGCACATGATTAGTCATCCCTAGAATTTTTCCAAAGGCACAATCTCGTGCCAGAAACACATTTGTTTAAAACATGTGCTTAGATTTGAATGAATCTGCCTAAATGGTGCCATCTGTTCTCAGGCAGCTTCAGAAACATTTTAATATGGTTTTACCTTTAAAAAGGACAAGCGATCAGGCAGGGCCATGAGACATGAAGACACCCTTAGCTAAACACAGAGCAGATACCAGCACATCCAATCAGCACACACTTACACAGCTCTCCATAAGGAATGTTTGCCGAGGTTTAAGAATTTTTATCTAAGGGGACACCAACCACTACTTCATGCTGAAAATATTTATGAGACATTACAGAACTGTAGGCACAGTCTCCCATATTACTGCACTTTAATTACAGACCCCAGAAATGCAATTTAATTTTTGGTAACTCTCATATTCCTTTGAAATGGGTATGTGCTTGCAATATTTGTTAATGGTCCACATTCGATTGTGGTTTCAGCACATCAGTCTCGAAGCCAAGAGCAGCTGTTGAGAATCGTCTCTGTTATTCATGTATATCGCTTGTTAATTTGACTTTCGTTACAGTACTGTGGGATTTATTGTTGTGTGAATATAACAGTGAAATGAAACCCATGTTTAAGTTCTACAAATAACTTACAGTTCCTTCCAAAACACCTCAGCTTAGGTTCTAAATTTGAGTTTGCGGTTTTACATGCACAGTTATTTGCTGATCCACTTTAGCATGCAAAATCACACACTGGCTAGATCTGGGTATAGTTATTGTGGCAACAAGTAATGGGTCAAATTTGCAGCCTATTTACCTCACTGGCTACACCATTATCACCAACACTATGCCAGCATGTTGACATCTGTGTATTTTGCTAGTTAGTATAAATCAACCATTGTGTATGTTTACACAAAGAATTTCTGGTTGAAACAGCATCCATATAATGTTATCCCACCTGATACTGCTGCGTCTGTACTGAAATGCTTTGGCTAACTCCCATTTTGCAAAGATGGACATCTGAACATACTAATTTACACGGACATTCATTTGGAATATTCCTCATTTTTTTAGTTGTTTGAGAAGGTGATCCGACTAACTCATCTCGCATATTTTGAGTCAGATTAATCTCTTTCTTGTGGAAAATAGAAAATTCTAAAATGTACAATGAGTAAGTTGTGCTCAGCATTAATATTTTCACAACCCAGAATTTCCTTCTAATAATTTTTAAACAAAATAAACAGCATGTTTCAGGTAAAGCTGAAGTCCTTTTGGTGGCCTTTCATTCAATTCATAAGAAGGCAATAATTTACTGTATCTTTCTGGTCAATATTTTTATACTTTTAATGACCTACATTATAGTTCCATAAACAGTAGATGGTATTGCTGGTGTCGTTATATAAATGTGATCATGGTATTCACATCATTCATCACCTTGCTATTTTTCTGTCAGCATTCTATTCTAAAAAAAAAAAAAAATCTATGTTCATTTTCCCAAGAGTTGTTTCATTTAATTTCTCTGAAGTTTGAATTCCCCACTTTACTAATGTAAACCACAGATGTCCATTTACATTGTATACCTTGCTGATTTTTTTTTTCTGTCCTAAGCAGTGTTGCAGCAAATGACCACATACATGTGTCTCCTGGTATACTTTCCCAAGATTTCTCTGTAGGAAATATCCCTGACTGTGTGTTACTGGATGGTGGATTACAGGCAGTTGCAGTGTTGCAGTGTATTACCAGATTCCCTCTTTCCCCAAAAATAAGACCTAACTGGAAAATAACCCTGAAAACTAAAGATCAGAAATGCCAGCCCCAATCAGCCTATCTTTGCCTTACCTGCCATCATCATTCTCTTTCTTGGTGTCTGTGGGTAAGGTAGGTAAAACAAGGATAGGCTGATTGGGACCACCTTTTGTTTTGTTGGTCTTTTTTAAGAGACAGCATCTGGCTATGCAATTTAGGCTGGACTTGAACTCACTATGTAGCCTAGTCTGGCCTTGGATTTGTAATAATCCTCCTGCATCAGCCTTCTGAGTGCTGGGAATACAGGCATGTGCCATCACGCCCAGCTGGGCTGGCATTATTGATCTCTAGTTTTCAGGGCTGATTATTTTCTAGCTAGGTCTTATTTTGGGGAAACACACTTCTCTCAAAAAATTGTTCTTTATTTCTGTTCCCATTAGCAGCATATGCAAATCCTATCTCCTACCTCCTCACCAGCATTTGTTCTGTTAGACTTTATATTTTTAATGCTTGCTATCTCATGGGTGTGAAATAATTTGTCCTTATGATTCTAAGTTGTGTAGTTATTTATAAAATCTTACTTATGAACTGTTTCCAGATTTCTTCTTTATGGGTTCCCTATTCTTATTCTTTGCCTATTTTTTTTTCTGAGTTGTCTTTTTCTTATTGATTTGTAGGTATTCCTTATTTCAAATATTAATTATTTTGTCAGCTCTGTGTATTGCAAATGCTTTCTCTCAGTTTTTTAACTTTATGGCATGTTTTATCACATACAAGTTTTGACATTTTGTTTTATTTGGTCAAATATTTCAGCTGATTCATTTTTCTGTTTTATGTGTTATCTTGAAACATCCATTACTGCCCTAGGTTGATTGATGTGCTTCCATATTTTCTTGTATTAGGGTTAAAGTTGTGTTATTTCTTCATGTGACTGTCTGTTGCTGTTTTGCTCTGTTTTAAACTCAGGCTGGCCTCGAATTTATGTCAGTCCTCCTGCATCAGTCTCCCAATTGCTGGGATTACAGGCATGTGACACAACACCCAGCTTGCTTTTTTTTTAAGGGGCTCATTTGGTTTTTTTTTTCTTTTTTTCCTTTCTTTTTTGGTACTGGGAATTGAATTTAGGGCCTTGCATCTGCCAGGAAGTTGCTGCACAACTGAGCTACATCCCCTGCCCTTCATGTGATTTTTTTTTTCTTTCTTTTTTTTTTGGGGGGGTTTGTTTGTTTATTTATTTTTTGAGACAGAGTCTCGCTATGTAGTTGTGACTGACCTGGAACTCACTTTGTAGCCCAGGTTGGTCTTGAACTCACAGTGATCCTCCTGCCTCAACCTCCTGGGATTACAGGCATGCGCCACCATGCCCAGCTTCATGTGATGTTTTAATTCATCTTGAATTTATTTTTCTGTACAGTGTCAAATCAGCCTAAATTTATTTGTTTCAAGAGGAGGAGCCAGTTATCCCTGCACCATTTGTTAGCCAGTCTGTCCTTTCTCCGCTGTGGTGTAATGTCCCTCTATATTTGTAGACTTCCTTAGTGAACACAGTGTGACACATGGGCATGGCTGTCTGCCCCTGCACCAGTGCCACACTGTTTTAATAATCACAGCTTTATGGTATAACTTAATGTATGGAAGAACAAGTCTCACTTCCTCCTGCTTTCACAAAATTAATTTTCCTTTTATGTGAAGATTTTCTGTTCCATGGCTTTTAGAATCAGTTTGTCTTGTTCTGTAGATGAAACCTGCAGCATTTTTATTTCAGTTGCATAACACGTATAGCTGTATAGACGTTTACACATAAAGTTCTAGTTTTCCTGTCTATGCCATGGCATAGCACATCATTTATTCAGGTTTTCTTTTTGTGTACTTTAATATTACTTTATCACTTCTCTGTAGTTTGCATGTCTTTAATATACGTAACCCCTCGTTAGCTCATTCTCTTTGTGGCTATTCTGAATAACATTATAGTTTCTGTTTAATTATTAGTGTTATTAGAACTTAATTAGTTTCACATAATCATCTCACATCCAGTAACCCTGGTAAACTTTTTGGCTTTTACTGCTTTGTCTATAGAAGTTCTTGCATTTGCAAGGCAAACACTGGATCTCCTGTACACAATGCCATGTCAGTCTCTTCCTGTCGTGCCTTCAAACCCTTTTTCTTGTTTACTACACTCCTTGTCTCGGTGCTGTGCAGTGGCGTGACAGCGGGCATCCTCCTCGGTGAGTTATGCTTACAGTTGTATTAGTGAGCTCTCTATGGCACACACTCTCCCCGCCATTAAGCGCTGTCAGTGTGGCTGGCCAACGTCAAGGTGTGGAAAATAGCTGGAGAGCAAAATAAGGTGATCATCTTGATAAAAGGCCTCCGTTAGAACTCCTCTGTCACTTCCTCAGCAGCCCCACCCACCTTGCTGTCAGTCACCCAAGAGGTAGCACCTGGAAGAGAACTCACTTTAAAGGTCTCAGCCACAAGGTCTTGCTCCACTTGACAGCATTGTACTTATGGGAACTACTAGGAACATAAATTTAAATCTTCTGATACTTTTCAACAGTTCTCACTTTTCTCATGATTTTTGGGTTGCCATTTGTGTTTTATAGACACCTATGAACCAGGCTTCAACCCGTTCCCACTGCATCTTCACTGTTCATCTGTCAAGCAAGGAGCCAGGATCTGCAACCGTCCGGCACTCCAAGCTCCACCTGGTCGACCTGGCTGGTTCCGAGCGAGTTGCCAAGAGCGGAGTCAGTGGCCAACTTCTAACAGAGGCCAAGTACATCAACTTGTCCCTGCATTACTTAGAGCAGGTAACAGGTGGAATGGGGTGTGGCTGTAGCACTCTTTGTCAGATATATTTTCCAGAAGGCTCACATTTCTGTTTTGTTTTGTTTCTTTTTTATTTTGGCAACATACACATAACATAAAACTTACAATTTTAATCATTTTCAGTAAGCAGTTCAGTGATGCTAAGTACATTGTAAATGGCCTTCTGCTGCCTGGTTTTCCAGGCTACCATGGTAGATCAGGGTATGGGAGTATATGTTAGAGGTGACCATAGTTTTTCAGCTCCCAGTGGCTTCACCTAATCAAAAATGATGCCCCTGTGGTGCTTCTCTCTCTGAGCCCTGGCTTTCCCTCCCTGCCTCTGCTCCATACTGACTCCAGTCCACCCCCGCATGTGCTCTGTTTCTAAATTTTGAATTTGACTCTGAGGACAGAGAAAATGAATCTAAGTTTAGCTAAATAAATCTTCCAGGAAAAAAGAAAAGTCTTCGCCTCTCAAATGAGTGAATTGAACGAGATGATTTCTCAAGTTCCCTTCAGTTCTGTGAAGTAGAAGGACTGTGAGTTGAATGTTAAAGATGGCCGGGTTTTCTAAATTCTTTTTAAAAAAAACAAAAACAAAAAATGATCCAAACTGGAGTGGTGAGTACCAAGTCTATAGATGAGACAGAAGGACTTGACAGAAGGATGTTGCGGCTAAAAGATTTCAAAAAAAAAAAAAAAAACCCAAAACTTTAAAACTGCATAATGAACCCTCTTGAGAGTGAGGTTGTCCGACGCTAACTGCTTTCTACTGGGTGCGCTGGCTCCGACTGCTGGCACCTGCAGAGTCTGTCTGAACAAGATGCCCATGGCCAGGTTCTGACCAAACGAATCGCAGTGACGCAGCACCCAGAGGGCAGCACCTGCCTGGAATTCCGATCATTTCCGTGTTTTTGACAAAAGTCAGCAGTCCTGAGCGCTTTCTTGCTCAAATATTCTACACTGCTTATCCTTAACAGAGCTTTTTACTTAATAGAATGCTTACAGAACAATGATATGAAAACATAACGAACTGCATTCAAAATGCTTTATTTCAAAGAACAGTATCTTCCTGTTTCTGGTAGTAGCACTGTTTTAATTCCCATTATGACCATCTGTTTGTACAAAATTGCATTCATCAGTTGAAGCTGATTTCACATGAATTGTAATCAGTCAAGAGAAATGTTCTGCCCTAAACCCTTTTTCTATCTTCACTCTACACGACCTTTACAAGCTGCTCTTTGTCACTCTCTTCACATTTCTTCTCTTCAAAATTCTTAGAACATCAGAATTGTGTGAGTAGTCTTGATGGCTATGTAACACGATATTTCATATCAGTATTTATGTAACAAGTATTTATGTGGACTTACTACATGCCGAGGGCTCTGCTAGAACAAAACAGAAACAGCCCTTGCCTCAGAGTTCTCATGGTCCAGCCAGGTGTGGTGATGCATGGTCATAATGCCAGCACTCTGGGAGGCTGAGGCAGGAGGCTTTTCAGTTTGACAGCAGCCTGGACAATTAAGTGACTTAGAGGGACCCTGCCTCAAAATAAAAGGAAAAAATTTAAAGACTAGGAATGTAGCTTAATGCAAAGGCCCTAGGTTTAATCCCTAGTGTCAGAAATGGAAAGAAAACCGTTGTCATGGTTCAGTGTAGGGAGCTGTGAACTGAGTAAGTTATGATGAAGCATGTGGCTGTCATCCAGGGAACGGGTGTGAGGAGCTCTGGGGATGGTGGATGTGACTTGGGCTGAGGAGGGGAGAGTTAATGACAGCTGTCTGAGGGTCGGATGCTAAGCAGAGACTCGGAGAATGAGTGGGAGTGAGCAGGGTCCAGGGGACCAGCTCGCTGAAGGTCCCGCTGTCATTCTCATGCCATTGACCCCAGCCCTCCGTGATTAGCTTATCTGTTTCATTTTCTCTCACTTGAAGTATTTACGACGATATCCAGTGTCTTTGCAGGCAAGCGGGGGCTCAGCACAAGGTCAAGGAGGGAGGAGAGGTTAGAACGAGGCCAAAGCAGAACATCATGTGGGAAAACTGCAGGCTGTAGGCATGGATGATGGTGTTAATAAGTCTAGGAGGAGCTGCTAACGCGAGGGATTTTGGAATCGCCCTCAGAAGAGGCAGTGGGAGAGAGACCCAAGAATGTCTGGGAATAAGAGTAAAATTACAAAGAGTGGGATGATACTTAATGAAATAACGTGACTCAAGATGTGCGCGACTAGATTCTCTTCACGTAGTACTTTGTTACGTGGCTGAGGGGCCTGAATGTGTGAGGCAGTTTAGTGTGGCTGGCTTTATTCCTGCCCCACCGATGTACTGTAGTTGATGGTCTGCTGGGTGCTGCAAGAGGCCATGCCATCGATTTAGCGGCAGCACAGCAAAGCACAGGAGCACCTGCAACAGTAAGAGACAGCTGCGACAGAAATCCATAGACGCCTTGCTGATTGGTTATGGCCTCACCGCCTCAGTTCCAACATAAGACATAGAGCCATGGACCACGAAAGAGTCTGTTAACGTCTTTGCCTTCCTTAGGCTGCACTGGTTTAGGAATTCCATGCAGAGCTCTGATTGCCCTCTTGGCCCTAACTGGGAGCCTTCACACCTGCTAAGAGGGTGGTGCCTCTCTAGCTGAATGTACCTTCTTACTCTCATAAGTAAATATCTTTGTGTTTTCCAGAGTAACGTTGGTTTTGGAGTCCTCTTTGTGTGTGCAGTACTTTTTCCAAAAAGTTTCCTCAAAAAACATTTTCAGCCACAATGACAGGGTCCACTTTGGCCCTAGAAATGGAGTTCATGCGAGGCAAAGGCAGGAGCCGGGCACACTTGTGCTCCCAGCTGTAAACCTCACGGAGCGGCCCTGGTGTGACCCGAGGTCACTGCAGCCCAGGCATGAAGGGAGAAAAAGGGCTGGGAACCAAGAGGGGCCGCCCTCCACCCCTTCAGAAATCAGCAGTTACACAACAGAAGCGCGACTTTTTCAGAGTTTCAGTTTCCATTTGGCTCTCACTGAAAGTGTTGTGTTCAGGGAAAAAAAAAAAAAATTAACAGGGCCAGTGCGGGTCATAACTGCTCCAAGTTGGTGTCTGTTTCTGAGGATAATTTTTCATGCCTTTCTGAGCTCTTTAAAAGAAAATCTCTTTATTTCATTAAATAATAGGCTGAATTATTGATGTCAACCACAGCTTCTAGGTTCTTACACACGAGAATAATGTGAGGTTCCACTCTGTCACTTAAAGACTGCCCAAAGGACCATATGTCATTGTATTTATACAAGAAATCCAAAATGGAGGCAAACTACCGTGCACATATGTATGTACGCACACGCACGCACCCATGCGTGCATACTCCCGGTTGTAGGAAGAACATGCCTTGCCTCTGTGATTTTCAGAGGGTCGCTGGTTCCTGCCCAGTTAGAGACCTCAGCAGCCTCTTAAGTGCCTACCGTTTGTGGGTCACTGCAGTGCCATCTGCCCCGAGGCCACACTCACTTGTGCTCCTGAAACTCTCCCAGGCCTGCCTTTGCGTGGCTAAAACTAATCGCCAAAGGGATTGTAAGGAACAGATATTTCCTAAAGACTCCTGTACAGCACTGAGTACTTTCTGATTCACTGAGAACTACCCCAGGCATTATACTTATTGATACATACATCTGTTGATTTAAAACATTTATTCAAGACAGGTAGCCGTTGGAATCCCTGTTTATTTACTTACTTTGGTAGTTCTGGAGAGTGAATCCAAGGTCTCATCCCCAGCTTTTTTTGGTGGGTGGTACCGGAGATGGAACTCAGGTCCTTGCGCTTGCAAGGCAGGCAGGTGGTGGAACCACTGAGCTAAATCTCCACCTCCCCCCCACTTTCTGAGACAAGGTCTTGCTAAGTCACTTAGTTGCCCAGGCTGGGCTTATACTTACAGTCCTCCTGTCCCAGCCTTCTAGAGTGCCAGGATTACAGACCCACACCACCTCACTTGATTTATAATCTCACTTTTACAGATGAGGAAACCAAGGCTAATAAAGTTGAGAAAACGAACTGCATTCAGACTGCAAGTCCTGAGTTTCTTCTTTTATCATTAATCGTTTCATTTCCTCCATTTTTAAAGACCGTAAACTAATCCACAATTCCATTTTCATCTTTGAGCATTCTCTAGCAAATTTTAGAACTCCTTCTAAATACATTGGAATTGCCTCTGTGAGGTCCATTCCGAGTGAATGAGAATCCATCCCAGCTCTAAGGTGGATTCTGATGGTCTAAGTAAATTGGAGCCTGCCTTTCTCCTGGCTCCAGTGGTTGGTTTAGGGTGGACCAGGACCCAAGCCAATTTCCAGAGAAGCTCAGGACTTTTTTCTAATAATTAGGGAAGAAAAGGCCTTTCTCACTAAAGTTAGGACCAAGAAGGCACGGTAGTGTCAGGGCATTGGCAACCATCCTGGGGCTGTGGGCAGAGGCTTAACTTCTGCCATGTGGAAGAAGGAACAGAAAACAGGCACAAACTAAGTTCTTGGTGGTAGCACTGACGGTTGGGCATCTAATCTACAGCCGCTCCTATTTCAGTTAATGAGAAAAGAAATTTCTCTTGTGCTCACCACCAGGCTTGGTTATAGTTTCTGTTATCTGCAACCAAAAACTAATTCAATAACAGACAATTTAATAGCAACAGGAAGTTTGACAGGCATATTCTTCTTTGTTATCTAAGTTGTCAATAAAGGCTTTGAATAGAAGACAAAAAGGTCAATATTGTCTCCAGGAGCAGGAAAAACAGTTGTGGCATTTGCTTTATGAAAGAACTTCAAAGTACTTAGAAAACTGTTGAATGTTTCCTTGATGATTCATAAATAATAACGCTGCTGTCTGTGCATGTCAGTCAGACCGACTCCTGTTCGGTCTGGCATTTGGTGCTTTAGCCAACCTCGCCGGTCTCAGAGATGTCATTTGTCTCTTGGCCCTTGGGGCCTGGAGCTGTGTTTCACATCTCTTGCCACTCAGACTTCAGTCCGCCTTTTCCCCCATCTCTTTTCCAGTTACACTGGAATTGGTTTCCCCAAATCTCGTTCCCTGCTAGGGACTCTCACGCTGCTTTCCTAGGAGAAACCCGTTCACCTCTTTCTTCCTTCATGTAACAAAATGTGTTAAGCACATGTTGTATTCATCAGAAAATCCACACTAGCTATTTTAAGGAGCATAGAGTTTGCTGAACGTAAAGAATCTCAAGAAAATCCAGAAACCCGGGCCAGCTGGGAGCAGAGCAATGAGAAGCCACCGAGCTGCACCCCTGAACTGCTCGGGAAGCACTCCTGTTACCCTGCCTGGCTTGCAGGCCCCAAGTCCGGGGAGGGCTTCACCACAGCTGCCGCAGAGCCAGGTACTCCCGTCCTCGCCCTTCGCGGAGGGGTCTCATGCAAAATATGAACTGCGGGAGAGAGGAGAAAATGGAGTTTTATAGGAAGTTGAACTGGAGTGGGGTTGTCTTGAGAGCTGAGTGAGACAACTGTGTTTCTGTCCCATGTACGGAGTGCTGGGCATTATCCCAGGCAGTGGGGATAGAGCTTCCAGCAAGAGTGGTGACGCTTGTGGCGTTGAAGAGCAGAAGGTCCAGCGGGGAAGCAAATACCAAACAAGTAAACACATTTAATTTTGTATTGTTTGTTTTTATTTTATTTATTTATTTATTTTGGTACCAGGGATCGAACTCGGGCCCTTGCGCTTGCGAGGCAGGCACCAGAACCACTGAGCTAAATCCCCAGCCCTTAAACATATTTAATTTTAAATGGTGCTGAGTACTCGGGGAAGAATAAACTAGAGTACAAGGCTAGAGTCAGGTGTGTTCTGTTTGTAGGGTGTTTAGGAAAAGCCCTTGTGAGGACACAGAAATTGAACCAAGACTTGAATGAAAAGAAGCAAAGAGCTGTATGAAAATCTGGGACAAGAGAATTCTGAGGGGCAGGAAAGAACAGCACATCCAAAGGCTCTAGTTTGGCGGTGAGCTTGGTGCATTGGACCCTTCACCTGCAAGAAAGCCGATGCAGGTGAAGGGCGCAGGGCAGGAGACGTCAGGCAGACAGGCAGGTACCAGGCAGACAGACAGGAGCTGACTGGTCACCCTGAGCGTGTTGGGAAGCCCTGGAAGGCTGGATGAAGGGGAGTGACTTGGTGTAACTCACATTTTATAGAGATTCCTCTGACTGCTAGGTGGAGAATGGACTGTGAAAGGGCAAAAAAGACTGACTCCAAGCATCATGCTATGGTACAAGCAAGGCACCATGGAGGCTTGAACTGAAGCAGTGGACGAGGACAGGGGAGAGTGGCCCGCCATGCTGTGTTGATGCTACTTTTACTTCATTTCGTCGTCACCACTTTTTACTGAATATTAAGATATTTAGTCTGTGCCCAAGTTCTAGGTGTCACTCTGCGTTCAGTCACTCTCACTTCGTGTGGTTCATTGCCATTGAAATTCCGCTGCTAGCTGGGGCTCTTCTGCCCACCTACGGCCCTCGTTCCTTCTCTTTGCCCCAGGTCATCATTGCCCTGTCCGAGAAGAACCGCTCGCACATTCCTTACAGGAACTCCATGATGACCAGCGTCCTCAGGGACAGCTTAGGGGGAAACTGCATGACGACCATGATTGCGACACTCTCCTTGGAGAAAAGGAATATTGAGGTAGGTTGCTTCCCCTTGCCAGAGATCTTACACTGGGCCTCAGCTTGCCAGTTCGGAAGATGGAGCTGAGGGTCCTGGGTGAGTCAGTACATGATGGAGTTCACAGGTTTGGGTTACTTGCCAGCACTGTAATAATCCCATTGGAGAACTGGCTTCACACAGCACAGGATGGTTTGCTGAAGCTTCATATGCAGATTTTTTAAAACCCTGCCAATAAGTTTGTTCTCAGCCACAGGAATGAGAGAGGAATGAGAGAGCCTTCTTGCTCACTTCTGCTCCTGACCAGCAAAGTCTGGATACCTCAGAGATGTCCTCAAGGTCTGTCCCTAGACAGATCCTGGAGTGCAGTGCCCAGAATGCTTTGGCAGGGGCTGGTGCTGAACGGCTTTCTTGGGCTGCTTTAGAGCCCGCTGACATTTCACACAGTTCACTTTGATGTTTGGGGTCTAGACATTCTACAGAGAGGAAAATGGGGAGCAGCAGAGTGCTTCCCAAAACAAGGCCCAGCCCTTGAGGGTGAGGTACTTAAGCCTCTCCTTTTGGTCTGTTAACAAATATTTATTTTGTAGTCTTCCATGTTTATGGATTTTGGTACCAGCTGATACATATTTCTGGTCGAACAGATTAATAGTGGAAAACACATACCAGTTGCCATTTAGGATGTCAGGATCTCCCATATTTTCAGTATTGGGCATTTTATTAAGCCAAAATCAAATTTTTGCAGAAAATAACATCCTAGAGCAAAGCTCCCTCATTTGGAGTCCTAGTTCTTCATTGTGGGTTTTTATACACATCATTCTTTAGGTATGCTCTTTTTTTCTGTGAATAAAATTGAAGTTTTATCTTGACAGAAGCCTCTCTCCATCTCACAGCATTTCAAGAAGTGGTTTCTGCTCTTTTAGGAGTCCATATCTACGTGCAGATTCGCACAGCGAGTGGCGCTCATAAAGAACGAAGCAGTCCTTAACGAAGAAATTGATCCCAGATTGGTATGCTGCCTAACTATGTCTAGGAAAAAAGTGTATCAAAGATTAGGGGCCACTTACTTCTTGTGAGACAGTGTTCGAAGTGCTTGGAAATTCAGCTGCCTCTATCTGTGTCTAGAGAAAAAAGGCAAGATATAGTGATGTGAAATAGCTTCAGCTTCTCAGTGCTCATAGACAGTGGAGGCAGGATCCAAACCAGAGAGCTGTGCCCAGGAGTCTGCTCTCTGCCATCCTGGCCCCACAGCCTCCTGTGCAAGGTATCCCAGGGGCCCATGCTCCGAATCACACATGTCAGACTCCCTTGCAGCTCTCAGCCTCTCACAGCCATCAGTTAACTTTCCAGACACATTAATTAAGAGACCACCATTCATAAGTGTTTATTAAAAAGAGTCCTAATGGTTGTTAAAGAAAAACATTTTTATAACTGTCCTATTACTTATTCTAAAGATCTTTTTTAAATGTAAATTAAATATATGGGAAAATTATCAAGTTTCTCATTCTGTAATAATAAATCTTGCCTTATCAAAACATTTTCATAAGCAAAAGCATGTGCAAGTTATGAGATTCAACTGTTCATTTTAAATGCAAATATTTTCTTTTTTCTCTATTTTGTTAGTTTTCTTAAAGACCGTAAACTAATCCACAATTCCATTTTCATCTTTGAGCATTCTCTAGCAAATTTTAGAACTCCTTCTAAATACATTGGAATTGCCTCTGTGAGGTCCATTCCGAGTGAATGAGAATCCATCCCAGCTCTAAGGTGGATTCTGATGGTCTAAGTAAATTGGAGCCTGCCTTTCTCCTGGCTCCAGTGGTTGGTTTAGGGTGGACCAGGACCCAAGCCAATTTCCAGAGAAGCTCAGGACTTTTTTCTAATAATTAGGGAAGAAAAGGCCTTTCTCACTAAAGTTAGGACCAAGAAGGCACGGTAGTGTCAGGGCATTGGCAACCATCCTGGGGCTGTGGGCAGAGGCTTAACTTCTGCCATGTGGAAGAAGGAACAGAAAACAGGCACAAACTAAGTTCTTGGTGGTAGCACTGACGGTTGGGCATCTAATCTACAGCCGCTCCTATTTCAGTTAATGAGAAAAGAAATTTCTCTTGTGCTCACCACCAGGCTTGGTTATAGTTTCTGTTATCTGCAACCAAAAACTAATTCAATAACAGACAATTTAATAGCAACAGGAAGTTTGACAGGCATATTCTTCTTTGTTATCTAAGTTGTCAATAAAGGCTTTGAATAGAAGACAAAAAGGTCAATATTGTCTCCAGGAGCAGGAAAAACAGTTGTGGCATTTGCTTTATGAAAGAACTTCAAAGTACTTAGAAAACTGTTGAATGTTTCCTTGATGATTCATAAATAATAACGCTGCTGTCTGTGCATGTCAGTCAGACCGACTCCTGTTCGGTCTGGCATTTGGTGCTTTAGCCAACCTCGCCGGTCTCAGAGATGTCATTTGTCTCTTGGCCCTTGGGGCCTGGAGCTGTGTTTCACATCTCTTGCCACTCAGACTTCAGTCCGCCTTTTCCCCCATCTCTTTTCCAGTTACACTGGAATTGGTTTCCCCAAATCTCGTTCCCTGCTAGGGACTCTCACGCTGCTTTCCTAGGAGAAACCCGTTCACCTCTTTCTTCCTTCATGTAACAAAATGTGTTAAGCACATGTTGTATTCATCAGAAAATCCACACTAGCTATTTTAAGGAGCATAGAGTTTGCTGAACGTAAAGAATCTCAAGAAAATCCAGAAACCCGGGCCAGCTGGGAGCAGAGCAATGAGAAGCCACCGAGCTGCACCCCTGAACTGCTCGGGAAGCACTCCTGTTACCCTGCCTGGCTTGCAGGCCCCAAGTCCGGGGAGGGCTTCACCACAGCTGCCGCAGAGCCAGGTACTCCCGTCCTCGCCCTTCGCGGAGGGGTCTCATGCAAAATATGAACTGCGGGAGAGAGGAGAAAATGGAGTTTTATAGGAAGTTGAACTGGAGTGGGGTTGTCTTGAGAGCTGAGTGAGACAACTGTGTTTCTGTCCCATGTACGGAGTGCTGGGCATTATCCCAGGCAGTGGGGATAGAGCTTCCAGCAAGAGTGGTGACGCTTGTGGCGTTGAAGAGCAGAAGGTCCAGCGGGGAAGCAAATACCAAACAAGTAAACACATTTAATTTTGTATTGTTTGTTTTTATTTTATTTATTTATTTATTTTGGTACCAGGGATCGAACTCGGGCCCTTGCGCTTGCGAGGCAGGCACCAGAACCACTGAGCTAAATCCCCAGCCCTTAAACATATTTAATTTTAAATGGTGCTGAGTACTCGGGGAAGAATAAACTAGAGTACAAGGCTAGAGTCAGGTGTGTTCTGTTTGTAGGGTGTTTAGGAAAAGCCCTTGTGAGGACACAGAAATTGAACCAAGACTTGAATGAAAAGAAGCAAAGAGCTGTATGAAAATCTGGGACAAGAGAATTCTGAGGGGCAGGAAAGAACAGCACATCCAAAGGCTCTAGTTTGGCGGTGAGCTTGGTGCATTGGACCCTTCACCTGCAAGAAAGCCGATGCAGGTGAAGGGCGCAGGGCAGGAGACGTCAGGCAGACAGGCAGGTACCAGGCAGACAGACAGGAGCTGACTGGTCACCCTGAGCGTGTTGGGAAGCCCTGGAAGGCTGGATGAAGGGGAGTGACTTGGTGTAACTCACATTTTATAGAGATTCCTCTGACTGCTAGGTGGAGAATGGACTGTGAAAGGGCAAAAAAGACTGACTCCAAGCATCATGCTATGGTACAAGCAAGGCACCATGGAGGCTTGAACTGAAGCAGTGGACGAGGACAGGGGAGAGTGGCCCGCCATGCTGTGTTGATGCTACTTTTACTTCATTTCGTCGTCACCACTTTTTACTGAATATTAAGATATTTAGTCTGTGCCCAAGTTCTAGGTGTCACTCTGCGTTCAGTCACTCTCACTTCGTGTGGTTCATTGCCATTGAAATTCCGCTGCTAGCTGGGGCTCTTCTGCCCACCTACGGCCCTCGTTCCTTCTCTTTGCCCCAGGTCATCATTGCCCTGTCCGAGAAGAACCGCTCGCACATTCCTTACAGGAACTCCATGATGACCAGCGTCCTCAGGGACAGCTTAGGGGGAAACTGCATGACGACCATGATTGCGACACTCTCCTTGGAGAAAAGGAATATTGAGGTAGGTTGCTTCCCCTTGCCAGAGATCTTACACTGGGCCTCAGCTTGCCAGTTCGGAAGATGGAGCTGAGGGTCCTGGGTGAGTCAGTACATGATGGAGTTCACAGGTTTGGGTTACTTGCCAGCACTGTAATAATCCCATTGGAGAACTGGCTTCACACAGCACAGGATGGTTTGCTGAAGCTTCATATGCAGATTTTTTAAAACCCTGCCAATAAGTTTGTTCTCAGCCACAGGAATGAGAGAGGAATGAGAGAGCCTTCTTGCTCACTTCTGCTCCTGACCAGCAAAGTCTGGATACCTCAGAGATGTCCTCAAGGTCTGTCCCTAGACAGATCCTGGAGTGCAGTGCCCAGAATGCTTTGGCAGGGGCTGGTGCTGAACGGCTTTCTTGGGCTGCTTTAGAGCCCGCTGACATTTCACACAGTTCACTTTGATGTTTGGGGTCTAGACATTCTACAGAGAGGAAAATGGGGAGCAGCAGAGTGCTTCCCAAAACAAGGCCCAGCCCTTGAGGGTGAGGTACTTAAGCCTCTCCTTTTGGTCTGTTAACAAATATTTATTTTGTAGTCTTCCATGTTTATGGATTTTGGTACCAGCTGATACATATTTCTGGTCGAACAGATTAATAGTGGAAAACACATACCAGTTGCCATTTAGGATGTCAGGATCTCCCATATTTTCAGTATTGGGCATTTTATTAAGCCAAAATCAAATTTTTGCAGAAAATAACATCCTAGAGCAAAGCTCCCTCATTTGGAGTCCTAGTTCTTCATTGTGGGTTTTTATACACATCATTCTTTAGGTATGCTCTTTTTTTCTGTGAATAAAATTGAAGTTTTATCTTGACAGAAGCCTCTCTCCATCTCACAGCATTTCAAGAAGTGGTTTCTGCTCTTTTAGGAGTCCATATCTACGTGCAGATTCGCACAGCGAGTGGCGCTCATAAAGAACGAAGCAGTCCTTAACGAAGAAATTGATCCCAGATTGGTATGCTGCCTAACTATGTCTAGGAAAAAAGTGTATCAAAGATTAGGGGCCACTTACCTTTTGTGAGACAGTGTTCGAAGTGCTTGGAAATTCAGCTGCCTCTATCTGTGTCTAGAGAAAAAAGGCAAGATATAGTGATGTGAAATAGCTTCAGCTTCTCAGTGCTCATAGACAGTGGAGGCAGGATCCACCAGAGAGCTTATCCAAACCAGAGAGCTGTGCCCAGGAGTCTGCTCTCTGCCATCCTGGCCCCACAGCCTCCTGTGCAAGGTATCCCAGGGGCCCATGCTCCGAATCACACATGTCAGACTCCCTTGCAGCTCTCAGCCTCTCACAGCCATCAGTTAACTTTCCAGACACATTAATTAAGAGACCACCATTCATAAGTGTTTATTAAAAAGAGTCCTAATGGTTGTTAAAGAAAAACATTTTTATAACTGTCCTATTACTTATTCTAAAGATCTTTTTTAAATGTAAATTAAATATATGGGAAAATTATCAAGTTTCTCATTCTGTAATAATAAATCTTGCCTTATCAAAACATTTTCATAAGCAAAAGCATGTGCAAGTTATGAGATTCAACTGTTCATTTTAAATGCAAATATTTTCTTTTTTCTCTATTTTGTTAGTTTTCTGTAAAGGAAGTACAGCACTGAATCACCTCATGCCAACACTGAAAATATTGAAAGGAAATACCAGTTTTTTCCAATTCCATTAAATTAAGAGTGCAATACTTTTCAAATCACCTGGCTTTTCTTAATTTTCTAAAAAATAAGCTGGTGTATGCATTATTTAAAAGCATGAAATCTTGCCAACAATACTTCATTTACAGATTTCTCAAGGTTTTTTTTTTTTAAACCCTCAAATCCATCATTACCCATATTAATTACTTCATCTTGGTTACTCGCCTTTTCTCCCTTGAAGTCACTTCATGTGTTCTACCCTGGACACTTCTGGTGCAGGCCTTGGTCAGATCCAAGCATTGGGCAAGGCCTCTGCAGGGGGCAGTGCCGGAATGCAAAGGCACAAGTCAAAAGGCCTTGCACTTCTAGGGTGACTTGTTCTGTTGTCCTTGTCCTTCTAGTGTCCCCATAGCATTTCTGTGCAGACTGAGAAAGACAATAATGGCATTACTAGCCTGAAGCCAAAAATTAGTTCATAATTTAAGGAAAATAAGCACAGTAGGCATTGGAGAGTTTTGGCTAGAGAAACTTTTCTCTAAATGAACTTGAGGAATTTAAAGAAAGGCAAATATTGTCCTGTGTCTGATGTAGAACTGTAAGAGAGTTGAAGAAAAGAGAGATCAGGAGTGAAAAGCTAATAGCCGACAGACGAATTGCTGAGGTCTTCCTGGTACAGAATACTCTGGTAACTGGCAAGTGTTGTTTCCTGGTCTCTTTATTAATCATACTAAAAACTGACTTTGCTGTTGTTACTGGTTTGTGTACAGACCTTGTCTGAAGTACAAGTCACAGCTCAAAATTGGCCTAAAAACCACCCAAGACACAACTTGGGTGGGAGTTCCTGTGTTTACTCTTAAATTTTAATGGCACATGTAGAGCCATCCTGCATGATCAGACTGCCCTGCTTTCTTTCTGAATATTGGTACTTCTGAGGACAAGGTGATAAAAGAGCTGGGAGCCCGGCTAGAGTGTGCGGAAACTGGGCTGGAGTCAGAATCTTCTAAAGATGGCTCTAATTCCAGAGTTCCTACAGTAACCTGGTGGGAGGTGTGAGTGCGGTCATCTCAAACCATGAAACTTTGGCTTAGTTTTGAGATTTCAATTCAATAAGGCAGAAAATTAATTTGGTATTTGATTTGACTTTGGAAGCTTTAATAGGATTAGAAAATATGACATCAATATTAATTTAGAGGAGAATGCAAATGAATGACTCACATAGTTCTTGTCTAAAGATTTTCATTCTGCATAGTTTGATGATTCTGAAAATGTTTTGCAAAAAGACGCAAATAAAATCACGCCACCCTGTACATTTAAATAAAATTCTAGGAGCATGACATGTTCAGAATACCCAGAATCATGCTCTTTGGGATTTATGGTCCTGTTGATATGGTCCAGATAACCTGAACTCACCTATATAAAATCTTACAAGCATCTTTGAAATACCTATCCGAGGTTGAAAGGGAAAAAAAGAATTCTCCAAAGCCCAGAAACAGAGTTAAAGGCTGCAGTTGTCCTGGAGTGAGTTAAAGGTGTTCTAACAAAGGAATGAAAGTCAGAGCTCTTTTGCAAGGTGAGGATTAAACTTAGGACATTTCCCTCCTCACAGAAAACCAGTGAATGAGTGAAACAGTAAAAAGAAGCCATCCATGGGTATAAGGAGGTGTTAAGGCAGCTTGTCTGCTTTAACCTGGATTCTAGGTAAAACAAAAAGTGCTTTGTAGAAAATTTGAAACTCCCAGGCTCTACCTCTCATGAATTTGAATTCAACTTTACATACTCTCCTCAGTCTGGTAACTTCTAAGAGAAGAAGTTCAAAAATGAACAAAGCTGCCAGATGGAGAAGGAAGAAGAGAAGAGCAGGAGGGAGAGAGGGAGGGAAGATCTGTTTCATTTTGGTTTTGGTTTGTTTTGGTTTTTTGCTTTTAGTTTTTAGCAATACCAGATATTCAAAGATGAGGAAATGATGGATTCAACATGCTAATTTTTGTTTTAGGAAGTTTTATTATGGTATCATGGTATTGTGGAATCATGACCTAGTTGGGTTATTTCAGGAGTTTGAAGATAATCATCCATTAAGAACCAAGGTGGATTATGTAAAGCTGCAAATTTCCGGTGATGAATGTCATTACATTGTATACCTTAAATGTACCAATAAAGTAATTAATTTTAAAAATTTATAATCCAGCACTAGAAAATATTTGGCAAAGGCAAGTATATATGGGCAAAGGAAAAATAAGAACAAATAAAAGCCAAATTTAGAATAATGATAACGAGGAATTAATTTAAGGAAGGATAATAGGATGAGACCTTCAGAAGGGTCTGTAATGTTTCTTTGCAAAGTATTGGGTACATGGGAGTTCTCGTAAGCTAAATTAATACTAAAATAATCACAGCAGTTAGGTGGTAGAATTGTAGTCTAATCACTAGTGAATAAAAAGGATTTGATAACATTAAGCATTCATCCATATGTTGACAAAATTCATCAAACTGAATATAAATGAACATCTTTAAACTGATAAAGTATATTAACCAAAAAATTATAATCAACATTTTAAAGGTGAAATATTAGATGGAATAAAATAAGGATGTCTAAAGAATTATACTTTAAAAGTTCTAACTAGAACAATGAAACACTAAAATGAAATACATGAGAATTAAAAAAAGAGAAAGCCTCTGTCATTACTAGCAATTTTCATTGCTTACAAAGAACATCCAACAATATTTAATGATCAACAGAACCAAAAATGTTCAGAAAATTGTTTGACACATAATCCATACATAAAAATGAATCTCATTCCTATACACCAGAAGCCAACAGTTACAAAATATAATTTTACAAAATTCCACTCACAGTGTCAACAAAAACTTTTAAATTCTTGGTACATATTCTAGCCAAAGACACATAAGATACTTATAGAAAATTATAAATTTTTATTGGAAAGAGTCAGTGAAGATATTTAGTAAATTCATGGATGAGGTGATTCAATACAGTATTGTTAATTCAATGTCTTACCAAGTTAACCTCCTAGATAAATGAATTCCAGGAAAAGTCTGGAGAGGGCCTGTGGCAGAATTAGACAAGCTGAGTGTAAAGTTTATATAGGAGAGCAAATGGCCAAGAATAGCCAGTTCTGTTCTTATAAAAGAACAAGATGGAAAGGGATTGTCTTATTTAAATGCACTTTAGTAGCTAAAAGTGTGGGATTACTATATATAGAGAGAAGTTGACAAATGTTTTCAACCAATAGCCCAGAAACAGGCAGGTTTATATGTGCAAACATATTATATAACATAATTATAATAGCAAACCTTGTATGGCACAGTATAAAAATGAAATGTCATGCCTGTATTACCTTGTACACAATAAAATTCACCTAAGTGTGAAAAGCAATTCTATAACAGTTTTAAAAGACCATATAAGAAAATCTTGCTATGGTTTAGGGTAAGACAGATTTTGAGAAGACACAAAAGCATAACTCATAAATGAAGAAGTTGCTAATTATATTGAAATTCAGAGCTTTCATTTAACCAAAAAACAAAAAACACAAAGTAAAACACATGGCATAGACAGAGAAAAAAATAGGTGTGTTGCCTAAAGTCAACAAAGCATTCACATCCAGAATATATAAAGAAACCTACAGATTAATAAGGAAAAGAAAAATAATGAATTGATACATGGGCAAGAATGTAAATAAGTTATTCTCAGAAGAAGGAACCAGACAGCCAAGGCACAAATGTACACATGATCAACTTCACTAATAATTATGAGAATACAAATTAGATATCCTTTCCTGCCTACCAGTTTGACAAAATTAGAGAACCTGTCAACATTACATAGTGATGAAAATATGGAGAAATGGGAATATACATCCATACTTAATAGGAAGGTAAATTTGTACAACTCTGAAGAGTGACTTAACTCCACATCATAACGGCAAAATGCCCTTAGTCTACTACCAAAAAATACTAGTTCTAAGTGTGCACTGTAGGGAAATTCTCACGTATGAGCCTCGAGTGATTTCTCACATTCACAGCAAGAGTAAAATCCTAAATGTCCATCCACAAGACACACAGATGAATGAAATTTGATGGATTGATGCACTATATGTTCACAAAAATGAATGAACTAAGGCCACAGGAAACAGAGTAAATAAGCTGAAAAGCATAAGGCCACAAAGCAAGCTGCAGTGACATGCAGTAATGTAACATTTCCATTTGTGGTTGAAGGCATAACAAATGATAGCATGCATTATTTACAGGTGCATCTGCCCCGATGGAGTAAATGTGTGAAAACACACAAGGGTGTGATACCCCTCCGGGCTTCGGCACAATCCCTCAGGAAGGGTGGAAACGAGATAGGAATAGTGGGTTCCAGTTACATGCGCTGTTTTATTTGTTAAAAAGTAATTCCAGAGCCATTTTGACAAAATTAAGACTTCACAAAGCTGGCTGGTAGCTACAGCCGTGCCTTTTATACCATTCTCTGTCCATTCTGGTGTCCTTAGCACAGCTCGCAGTTCAGAGAGCTGCATGTTCTCTACAAGTTGACATTCACTCGCCCACCTTGTCCCCCCGCAGGTGATTGTCCGCCTGCAGAAGGAAATCCAGGAGCTGAAGGACGAACTGGCCATCGTCACCGGGGAGCGGAGGACAGAGGCGCTCACGGAAGAGGAACTCCTGCAGTAAGCTCCCTCACGTCGTTTCTTCCTTTTCCTGTCACAGTGAACGTTTGTGGTAACTTCTCTGTTGGCTTCGGTATTACAAATTCACCTCCAAGCATGCCGGTCCCCTGGGACAATCTGAAATTGCACTGAGGCGCCAGTTAAGAGTGGCGGCTTTCCATGAAAAGCTATTGAAGGCTGGCAGTGTTTTGCCACCTCAGCTTTGAGGAAGTTAAGAACGGAGCACGGGGAGGATGGGAATACCCTTCTCCTGCCAGCTGCAGAAGAGGCTGGGTAATAGGCAGGCAGTGGGAACATACATGGAATTGTGGGTCTCAAATCTGAGAGGAGTTCAAGAAATGTCCTTTGTGTGCAACTGCATCTTGCTGCAAGCACCACTTTATCCCATGCCAAAGAAAGCTCCTTCCCTTAACAAATAGATGGCCCCTATGTTATAGTTCAGACACTCAAGCGGCGAATGAAAGCAGGTATTCAGGACTTCAGACATGTGCGGCACCTCTCAGAGCCTTTAGATGTGCAGCCATATGGCCTGTCAGTGGTACAATGTGACTTTCTCTCTGATCGTGAGTGTGGTGGTGGGCTGTCTTGTTGCTTCTGTGCTGCTTATTAAGTTTTAGTACAGTGGTGTTGACAGAAGAGGCTTAGAAGGCAGGGCCCCCTGTTTCCAAATAAGAAATAGAGTTACACGTGTTTTCTGAAGATAAATTGCCATTCCACCTAATTCTCCTTCAACAGAGAAAATGGAAAATAAAAGAGACAATAAAAGCAGTTTTCTTGGGCCTGGGGGTGTAGTCCAGAAGCAAAATGCCTGCTCAGCATGCACAAGACCCTAGGTTCAATCCCCAGCATAACAAATAAAGTAAAAAGTAGTTTATTTAAACTACTGCATCATTGCCCAAGAGGTTCAGCTGACACTGGAGAAGCCTTCAGTAAGGTGCCTGTTACAGTCAAAGCCCCCAGTATGGTGCTTCCTAATTTTAGCACTGTGTTTAGTACTCTGATAAGCCCCAGAGGCTTTCCTCACAAAACTGCTTTGAGGAATATTTGCAATTAAAGTGAAATATATTGCTAAAAACTCACCTTATTAAGAATTTCATGTCACTCTTTGAAGCTGCTTAACAACAGGCTGAGAATCCCTTTATTCTTTTTCCCCTCAAAGAAGACATCTCTTCATATCAGGATCCAGCAAGGAAAACAAGAACACTCCAGGTATCTCAACAAAAGGATTTAATACAGGAAATGGTGCACATAGACAATGGTTCTGCTAAGCAGCTAACAGAAAGATATACAGTTCCTTAGAATCAGTAATGTAGAAGCTCCCAGAGCCCTAGGACTGGAGAGACAGTGGGACAAGGTACTGTTACCAAGACCCAAGACCTGGAGCTGGCTGTAGGAGTTCCACCCAATGAGTGGGGCTGGACACAAGTGGTGGCCACTGATGAGACACAGTTGCTACTCAAGACTGCTCGGAGGCCATCCTTGACCTCTCTCGTCCCCTTCCTGGTATCCACCAGTGCATCCCATTGGCTAAATTTAACCAGATGCCAGCTGTTGTTATAGGAGTCAGAAAATGTTTTTTCCTGTGATTCAGAGTGAGACGGGAAAGATGCAAACTGGACCTTAGTGGAACATGTCAAATAAGCATCAATATCTTCTCTAATTTTTATATATCGGGTATGTTGCTCAGGAGGCTCAGTTTAAGGGTAGGATTTTCAGGGTGCTGATTTTGACATATAGATTAGTTTGTACTGCACCAAATTCAGAGAATTCTAGAACTGATGCAAAGAAATGACAGCTCATGAGCATCTGGCAGGGCTGTTATGTGGGCCATTTGTTCTCTAAATGCCCTCCTTGTGCCCTACCCCTTCTCAGGGCTTAGGATGGAGAAGGAGGGAAGAGGCCCAGGTTACTGCAACAGATAAGCTCTGCCCATCCACTATTCTCAGTGAAAACAGTGAGAAACACGAGCACCCACAGCCACATCAGGCCCCATTTGAGACTGGTGGCCCATGCTGAGATAGCTGACATCTCGAAGATGAGCCCACATCGTGAAGGGCTGGAAACAGCAATGCCGGGACCACCAAACATCCAAGAGAGGCAAGAGCGAGAGGAATTTACAGCTTGCAGAGACAGAAAGCTAAGCTTTCTGAAAAGAGCAGTATCTTTAGAAAAATAAAATATGGTATCACATCAGATGAAACAAAAACAGAATCAAGAGGGATCTTGGAAATGAAAACAATGTACTTGCTGTCATTATGAAATTAATAGTGCAGCCGGGCATGGAGGTGCATGCCCCTAATCCCAGCACTTGGGAGGCTGAGGCAGGAGGATCGCTGTGAGCTCGAGACCAGCCTGGGCTACATAGTGGGTTCCAGGTAAGTCTCAACTACATAGTAAGACCCTGTCTCAAAAAACCAAAAAGAAAAGAAATTAATAGCTGGCTCAGTTGAAGAATGAAAAAAACAAACAAAAAAACACAAGTTGCGATTAGTGAGTTAGAAAGATCAGGACTGAGGAAGTGTAGCCAGAGTGTGAAGTGAAATGACAAAGAGAAGTTTAAAAGAAGACCCATGGACAGTAGCTCTAGACTTACCACATCTAGTGAACAGAAATTTGCAGAGAAGAAAATAAAGATAATAGAGGAGCCAATAGTTGAAGAAATAAAAATCTAGGAACTTCCTAGAACTAAAAGTCATAAATCTTCAGAATGAAAGAGTTACCAGGTACTAAAATGTATTGTAGAAAAATTTGAGAACCTTAAAATACAAGAAAGAGTCTTAAAATCTCCTAGGGAGGAAGAAATTAGCAAAAAATAGCAATCTGATTTACATCAGACTTCTCATCAGCAGCTCTGGAAACAAGAATTTCAAAAGCAAAACAAATGAGAAAGCAGAATCAAAAGCACTTTAACTCTAGCCAAATTAGCATCCAACTATGAAGATGACATAAAGACTTGTTTGTTTGTTTGTTTGTTTGTTTTTTGAGACAGGGTCTCACTATGCAGTTGAGATTGACCTGGAACTCACTATGTAGCCCAGGCTGGTCTCAAACTGGATTATAGGTGTGCACCACCACACCCAGCCATAAAGGCATTTTGTAGACATACAAGCTTTCAGACAGAAAGGTTGCAACCCTAGGGCCTCTTTCCAAGAACTACTGAAGACTGTACATTAGCAAAAAGAAAAATGCCACAAAGTATAAGACATGAACAATCTCTTCTTTATGATACTTAATACTGTGTAATATTCACTTTATATCATTTACTAATTGTCATTCATTCTATATTGAATTTTTCAGTTTAAATTATTAAAATAACAAGCAAATGTTCTACTCATGGGAGACTGAGGAACAGAGTGAAGATAAAATTGTGCCAACAAGGGACTACTAGATCTTGGATTGAATTCTGTTGACCTGTGGACAATAAATACACAAGTACAAATCCGAACAGATTCAGCATAGCAAGTATATAGAGCTGCCATTAGTTTTTTTGTGCATTTATTCATCCAGCATTTGCAAACTACCGTAGGCTCTGAGAAGGACACAAGATGGAGCTGACAGACATGTGTACAAGTAATGATGCAATCTGTGCATGCATTATGAGAAGACACATTCAAAAACAGCAACTTGGAGAAGCAATGATAACCGTTGAGCTCATAAATCATGCAGAAAAGTTCAAATGCTACTGAGTTCAAGGTTCATTTTAGTGACTCTTGAAGAACCAACCGAGACAATGCACTGTACATAGCAACGTGTCTGACTAGTGATTTCTGATCAGCCATTAGGGAGAACAAATCTTGCAGACCACATCCACCCTGCCGAGATGTAGGGTTTCACAGCAGTGCAGTAAATTTGGTGCTTGTTCACACTGAATTGTGAATTACACAGATCAGTGTTTTGTTCTTGTTGTTGTTTTCATACTGTTGTTGTCATTGTTTTTCCATAATTAGCTAGGTTGAGTGTTAGTGTAACCTAAATGCTAACAGGTTAAAGAGTCTATAATCATCTTATATTGAGAAAGATGAATTACACCTCTCTCCTATTGTGGCAATGCTTTTTAACACCACTAGTGTATGCTTTGTCCTAGGGCTCCTGGACATTCACTCAGGAATGTGAGTCAGCTGCAGTCTGTCATGTCTCAGGGGGAGGGGATGGAGGGGCATAAAGTGTTGGAAGAGAAAGAGTTCTCAGCTGAGCAGGGCAGAGTGGCAAGAATGCCCAAGTCAGCCTCTCTGTCCTGGTGGTTTCTGGGCTTGTGCTTCCCAGCATGGCATAAAGGTTTCTTTGACGGATGGCAGGAAGCAGGTTAATAGATCTGCTGTTGAATGTAGCCTCTCAAGGCAGTGCTGAGATATTTGCTAATATCCAGCCCTATCAATTTTTGAACCATTTCCCAACATTTCAGATCTTAATGTAAATATTTGTTGCATTGAGTTAGATGCTTTAATTGAAGAGGATTTCAGATGTCAACCTCCAGTTATAGTGATATTTTTAGTTTACTACTTTGATTTCACCCTGGATAAATTTGAAAAGAGACAGCTGGGTGAAGTCTGGATAGCCAAGTTAAGTTTATACATAACTTCTTGGGTGAAGATTTGACTGTGATTGATTCGCTACACACATACAGCTTTGTTCTTCTGGTAAAATAATAAGCCTGTAGATCTTTGGCTAGGAGAGAAGCACTATATCCTGGCCCAAATCGCGCGAAATATTTTCTGTATCACAACATTTTATTCCTCAGATGGAATTGAATTGGATTTCATGGGCTCAAGTTCACCCAGAGTGTTCTGATACATCCAAACATCAGGATCTTTTTCTAACAGGAAAGACAAAAATCAAAAACTATGCATATCAGTTATTCTATCATCCTGAATTTATTGAGTACTTATTAGATCTTAATCACACTAATGGGTATTTTTAGGACTTAAAGAGTATAAGGCACAAAAAGTAATGTGAAGGAACTGCAATTTTATTGGGAAACCTTACACAGATACACACACAAA